GATTGGAGTTCTGTTTGTTCTATGGGATAGAATGCTCTTCACAGCAAAAGCGCCACCGCTATCTGGCTCTCTTGATTCATACCCTCTTTACATGATGAGTACAAAAATGCAAGAAAAGCATTTTTATGGTTTTTCCAAAATTGTTCTTAAACGGAAGTGAATAATTTGTATAGTTTTCAAATTCCAGCGCACCCTGGCTACATGGCACAGGTGGTCAAAACCAAAGCCTCCACCATTGCAAAGATCAAAGTCTGACTCTTTTTTGCTAGACAATGTGAAACAAGGCAGTATGAAGAATGTAAGTGAATCATCTGCCCATTGACTTTTTATTTCTAATATGTATCTGAAGAGATTCTGGATGTTATGGAATTGTATCTCCTCGTTACAGGATACTTTATCTCGTCGTCGTGGTAGCATATCGCAGGCTATATCGACTCATACTTGGCGAACAGCTGGTGCTGTCTGCGGTCAGGATCCGGAGTAAGAATTTCCAACTTGCTAAAGTATGGCATGGTTTCCTAGTGTTACTTCGGTCGCAGGGGTCATAGGGTATCCTTCTCTCAGAGGAGTGAAGGGGAGTTTCATTGAATTTAGTTATTCTTGTAAATTGGTTCCCTTTTCTTCATTACCTTTTGGTATTTGCTTTCACATATGCTTCACAGAAAGTCCCTCATAGAACAGTTCTGCTTGCGGAAGCGAAAGCATCCCTCTCCGTGGGCTAGGATAGCGTACTGTCCCTCAACTATCCACTCTACCTCCCGCCTCACATTTCCATGTCCTCGATCATCAACAGTGTCCAACTTCTTTATAGTAACTATCGTGTATACATGTCCTGAATGTGCCTAAAATTGGCACTCGTTTTCAATGTAATGTGGGTAACTCTTTCAGTTTTTGTGTACGCCCATATTCCGTTATACCGTATGAATGGCCTGATGACTTGACGCGGTGGCCGGTGAGTATTGCTATTCCATTACTTCTTTGAGGAGTGCTAAATTGGAATAAAAAAGAAAATAAAATGATCACTCGGATTAATTTCTAATTTTGTGCAGATATGCGAAGAACACCGCCAAGGTGCTTTCTTACCGACGCACATGACATGTCAGGTAATCCCTTTCCAATGTTTTCTTTTCTTAACTGGCTCCATAGCTTTCCATGGTCACTGGCTACGTGATTTAGGTGACTGGTCGTCCATGTTGTATCCAGATGCAGGGTCAATGTCGAATCGCAACTCGAGAGTACTGTAATTTTGTGAAGGGCCACTTTCATGAGAATGCTACCTTATGTAGTCAGGTTGGTTAAAGTCGTTTTCAATGCATATTTTTGCACAGCCCTGTATTCTGCTGCTGAAAAAGCATGGAATTGTGTTGTGTTCTAGATAATTAGAAGCTTGGGTTGCTATGACAATTACTGGTTGAAAAAATTGTGCAATCACTTCCAAAGATATCCATCTAGGTGAATTGCTTCTCCGATATTTGTGGCATGCTTCCGTTTCTGCGAAGAGATTATCCAGATCAGTTTTATCGCATGTTCTTTTCGTTGTTCTTGCACGCAGGGTTCGTTGCATTTCACTTATGTCTGTCAATCCTTTGAATTTTTTCATCTATTAGTTTTATGCTTTATTCTGCTTCAGTGGTTAGTTTTACATCTGACTATCATCTTGCTGTTCCAGTATCATCCATGTCGCGTTCACGGTATTCGTTCAAATGTGGTTGATGCTTGATCTTGAGATGTTAATCGGATGGAGGCGTATGGCAATTCTCTACATAGGATCTGGTATTGGTGGTAATATTGCCAGTGCAATTTTTGTGCCATACAGTGTGAGTGATTTTTCTCTTTAGTACCTCTTGCTATTACTGTCAGCATCACAGCACATCCACATTTTTTTCCGTAAAATTGGTCCTTGACGAGGTTTTTTTTTTCATACCCATTAGTCTTGCTGCTTATGGTTAGACTTGTTGGTGTACGGTTGCATTGGTGTTGTTACTCATAACTCTTGTAAAATTTTTGTTTTTTACAGCCTGAAGTAGGTCCATCGGGAAGTCACTTGGGAATTATGGCAGCGCTGGTTGTTGATTTACACCACCACAGGTTTGTTGTTTTTCTATTGGCAAACAACTTCTCATTGATAATGAATTTCTATTGTTATTGGACAGCTTTCGCTTGATTTAGTTCTCTAGATTTTTTGTTGAAAAAGTGATAAAAAGTGATAAAAATCAATAATTCAAGCGCAATTGCGGATGAATTTGAAGCTTGTGAAATTCCTTTTCAGTTTTCCTCGATTGCTAATTTGTTAGGGTAATGC